ACAGTGCCTACTGTTCGCTTGACTCAATTATCTATCTCTTCAATCTATCTGCATATCTGTCTATCACTGGCTTTATTTCCCGGGCTTATATACTTAAAAAAAAGGGGCATCTGGCAAACACTCGGACATTCACAGGGTTCCTTGATAATTCATGATCCTTCGAGAAACTCCAGCGCACATGCTCCAAGCATGACGTGACTTCCGCTTTCATGACAGTGTTTACTTTCTTTCCAACTCTGGTCAGTTTTCAAAAGTTAAATATTAATGCCACATCTGAAATCTCTTAAGGCATCTTCATAGTTAACTGTATACTGAAAAACCAGAAATATTTCACTAAAAATGCATAAAAACATGTGACAGTCAAATGAATATTTTGGGTGAACTTTTTCTGATAATACTTTTCTTTCTATATTCTACTAGATTTTTATATACTGGTTCTGTTGACTTGAAGTGTTGTTCCCTGTCTGAGGTACAGTTAGCAGCTGAGTTGCTTGAAATACCAGAATTACAGGTAGGTTTCAGTTTTTCATTTTTATGACTAAGATTATTTCTGTATTACAAAAAAAAAAGGTTTTATACTCTATTTCTAAAGTATAGCCAAATTCCTTTGACATCTTTTAAAGTAAAGGCAAGTTTCACTTCCTTAACTCTCTCGAATTTCTTCATTTTGAATTATTGACACATTAAGTTACCTACTTGAATAACATGAGGAATACCAGCTTTTATCTATTGTATAATAATAATTCAAGGTATTATTTATGATGTTTTCAGTAGTGCTGAACTCTGTTAATCATTTATAGAATTGAAAGGTGAAAACTACTTTCTGTACAATTAATAGTTAACACTAGAATATTAGGGACAAAATGCAAATCTTATTCCATATTCCAAAAGAAAGTAATTGTTAATGCTCTGAAAAATATTGGTACAATATAAAGGCTTGTAGAAGAAATTAAATAGCTAGCATGAGATGGATATAACTTAGCACTGTATATGATATGCCTCCCTCACTTGTATTAAATATATAAAAACACAAACACACACACATATATATACACATATCTACAGTATATAAACCACACTGTAGAAATAAAAATATCAGTTCCAAGGAAATTCCCATTTTAAATAAGAACCTTGGCCTTTAAGATCTTTCACAAGCACCAAAGTAATTAGTGTTATATTTGTAATAGCATTGACTGAAATCGTTTAACCTCACAGGGAGCCCACCTGTCTCTGTCAGGTTGGGAACTACTGCTTTAGAAGATGCTAATTTCTAGTGATTCTAAATTCTATAAGCAAATTTTATGTAGTTAAAATTTGAAACAAAACTTTATGATATTACATAATTTAGAAAAGATTGTTGATATTATCCACTTTCACAAACATATTTGTTATTTTTGTTTTCTGTTCATATTTTTAACATAATTTAAGGAGAACAAGGGACCTCTTGATCCATATAGATAGTCTCACATACTGAACTAAACTTTAAAATGAAACACTCAAAGCCAGCCCTTATCATTCTAGTATCAAATCTCAAATTATCAAATCTCTTCTTAAACTGCCTTAAATTTACTGCACCACCATATCTCAAGACAACCCATTCCAAAAGTCAAGTACCCTGATAGAAAAATAAAACTGTCTCAGCTGAAGAAGACACCTACCCTGCCAAAATTTTATGTCCTCTAGTCCTACCATTCTCATCATTAAGTATGAAAAATTATGATGCATATACACTGTAAATTTAACTAACAATCATAAACTCTTCATCAAAACTCTTATAAGTAGACTATAACTCTTTCTGTTTTCAAGAGAAAACAGTTTTAGAGATCTTAATCTATCCTAGTATGACAACCTTTCCATCCCAGATATCAACCTAGTAGCCCTCCTCTGAACTCTTTCCAATAATTGAATGTCCCATCTTAGGTAAGGAACACAAGACTGAACAAAATACTCCAGATATTGTCTAACCAATGACCTATACAATGACATAATAACCTCTTTAAACTTGTATGCAATAGTTCTGTAGATACAATATAAAGTCATATTTGCCCTGCCACTAGCAGCAGCACATTGCATGGATGAGTTATGAGAATGATAAACCATAAATCCTAGATCCTTATCTTCCATAACACTGTTGAGGTTATTCCCAGAAAAATTATACTTATAATTATGAGGTCCCACATACATTACCTTGCATTTGTTATAATTGAAAGTCACCTGTCTGTCATTTATTTACCCAACTCACCAAATAATTCAAATCCTTTTGTAAAGCAGCAGCATCCTTCTCCCAGCCAGCAACACCCAAAACCTTAGTATCATTAGCAAATTTAAGTAATTTATTGATCATTCCTTCATCTATGTTATTGGTGTAAATTAAAAAAGCATAAGTCCTAACACTGAGCTCTGAGTTATCCCACTTGTGACATTAATCTAGTTTGATGTAACTCCATTTATAACAACCTCCTACTTTCAACCATGAAGCCACTTTTCTTTTCAATGAGCCACCCTATCCCCCAAGCCTACAGAGATAATTTTTTAAATAAGTCTTTTATGTTGTACTTTGTCAAATGCATTCTGAAAATCTAGTTTCACCAAATCTACACCCTTACCCTCATCTTTCTAAACAGTAAGCTCTTCAAAGAATGTCAAAAGATTTGTGTGGCAATATTTTCCCATAGGGAAACCATGATGACTATCCAATAAATTTTAAACTTTGTTAAATTACTTTGCAAATCATCTTCTATCAGACTTTCAAAAACTTTTCTCACCACTGATGTAAGACTAATAAGCCTATAATTACTGAAACAATTTTTATCATCTGTCCACTATTCAAGGACTTCCAAAAAAAAAGAATAGTAAGTGGCTCACATATACAATCCTTAAAAAACCCTTGGTTAAATATTATCTGTTTTATGGGACTTATATTTTTTAAACTTCCCAATTTTTTTTAACAAGCTCAAAATTCCTCATCTTGTTCAAGATGAGGAATAATGATTAAAATCTTCATTAGTAAAAAATGAAGAAGTAGAACTTAATAACCCAGCTATCTCATAATCAACCAATTTGAGCCTTCCTTTGTCATCCCTCAAAGGCCCTACTCCTATTCTAACTTTTTGCTTACCCTTAATGTATTTGAAATACTTACTATTAATTTTTGCATTTTTAGTCGCCATTTTTTTGTATACCCTTTTCAATTTCCTGTTTGATCAACTCTCTTGATCCTCTATAATCCTCTAAATCTTCCATCACAGCATTCAGTTTAAACTTCTTAAAGTTTAATGATTTTCTTTAATTCTGTACTTTACTTAACCTTTGTGAGCCAACCTGTTTTTTTTTTCACTTGCACCCTACTTTTTTTTTTTTTTTTTTTTTTTTTTTTTTTTTTAATAAGTTGTCTTGTCTTCTATATTGAAAATAATATTTGTTTATGTTTAGCTCTAGATACATCTTAAGAATGCTCCAGATCATCATTTTGATAGCTTAATTCATAAACCATATCTTATACTAAGATGTTAACTGAACACTGAATTATTGTTTTAACTGTGTTATCAAGATGGTGGTATATAATTTTCTGCATGTTCTGGTTGGGCTTCCCTATAGTAAACATGTATGTTGTAAGTTAAGTTAAAAGTAACTGTTAATAAAAATAGTAATAGCTGTTGAAATAGATTAAATTATGTTGGTCCATTATGATTCATTTGTCTGGAACATAGGTGATTGTTAGTAATGTACTACATCGAGAAGACTTTCTCAATCAAGAAGTACAGCAGAAGTTCCTCCAAAAAGTAAGAGCACGTGTAAAGGAAGTTTGTGTCAAGCAGGGTCTTTTCTCAGGTAAGGAGTTTGTTTTTACTCAAGCTTAAATAATAGGGCTAGAATTTTTCTTTAATTTATAACTAAATTGACAGTCAAAATGCAAGTTACTGACATGGCTATCATTTTTCTTTTATCTAATCTGCTTTGCATTCTCTTCAGAATAAAAATAAAGATATTGAAAGAATATATTAGAATATTTAGATTTCTAAACATAACAAGCCTTTACATAAAGTGAAAAAAGTGAAGTAATTTCAGTATGTTGTAGTCTTATCTAAACATAAAAAAAATTGGTTCAAATGGTATAAAATTAAATCTAGCCTGAAAACAAATATTGTAGTTAAAGACTAGTATGGGAACTTATAAATCAAATTTGTAATTAATGAGCATTATTTCTTGGTTTATGTCAATCTCTTATGCATTTTGGATAATCAATTTCTTTTATTACAAGTATGATGGTAAAAGTAAAGAAAAGTAATACGTGGAAATCCTGATCTCATTGTAGGTATGTTTTTTTACACACACACTTAGAATGAAAATAAATAAACACTTTCTTTAGTAATCATTTAGTTTTCTGCTTGTCAGATGTCTTATTTCAACTGGAAGATGGTTTATGTGCTGCCCATCGTCCCCTATTAGTCGCTCGCTGTGATATGATGGCAGCTATGTTCCGGGGAGACTTCAGAGAGAGCTCTGAAAAAGTGGTGAGTGCTTTCTGTTTACTGTTTAAAACGTGGTAGAAGGATAATGGTCAATTCAATAAATTAACAAATTTATCATCATGCCTTAGTTTTCTGTGCCAAGCATCACACAGCTACTGTATTGAAAGTGTATGTTCTATCACAGTCTCCTCAATCATATATTTTTCAGTCATGTATCTTGTTCAGTTACTGACATTGCTAAGCAGCAAAAGTTAGTATGCATGCATGTCTTCTTGTTACTATGTGTAATTGAGCTAACTTCAGTTCTAACTTTATCTTTTTATTTACAGTATCATTCTGAATAGTTGTGATCTTCTCATTTCACAGTTGGATAAATGTGTGCATCTCTTTATTTTATTATAATGAGATGTACCAGATTATTTAACTGCTGCACAGAGGTCATTCTAACAGCATTTAATTTTTGGTAGGTCCACTTTCCAGGAGTATCCAGTGACTGTTTTCGTCATCTTCTTGTCTATCTGTACACTGACTGTTTGGATCCTACTGTTAATCCCAACAACTGTCTTGAACTTCTGGAACTAGCCAATCGACTGTGTCTTCCTCGACTAGTTGCTCTTGTTGAACACAAAGTGATTCGGGAACTGAATAAGATGGCTGAAAATGGAATCGACTCCACAGAACATGCTATTAGACTTTTAGAACCTTGTCAGGTAATGATTATAACCCCTTTAAAAATCATGTGAAATTAGTCACAAGTATCAAATCTCTCCAAAGAAAAAATTAAGTCATGAATTTAAGAAAAGGATAATAAATAGTTATCGGAATACTTATAGGAGCAGGGATGAAATTCTGCAGGTACTCAGTACTGGGACTTACTTGACTTGCTTTTAGTCAAACCTGGATGCTTTCCATTGCACTGTTGGAAAGCAAACATATTATGACTCACAGAATCTAAACAATTATTAAATATCATTCAAATGACCTGATGACATTAGTTTTCATTGGTAACAAGGTCATGAGAAGTCATGTAGCAACTTTAATGTCAATCGTTATTAAACCAATCAGGTAGTCTCATCTAGCTATGTGATTTGTATAATTCTTCAATAACAATAAATGTACCCAAATAATGTAATTTATTGCTTAATGTGCATAGCTACTAAGGCTATATGACAATGTTACAAATTTTAACTACTGACAAGAGGGAAGGCAACAGGCTAGCAGACCACCACCAACTCTCTGGCTAGTTAAGTGTTAGATAAATTGTAAATTTACTGTTGTTTTTTAATCATGTTACATTTATAATGTATAATTAGCTAATTATATTTTTCATGTTGTATAAACAGGTACAGGTATGGGGTGGTACCCATTTTTTACAGGAATTAATAACAGTCTTCTTGAAAGTTTTATAAACAGACATGGGCATTAGGGAGGGGGCCAAACCCATCCACCCATTTTTTTTTCCAAAATTAAATGTATCAATAGATGTAGACCTACAAGAGTCCAACCCCCCCCCTTCATTTTTTCAGAAAATAACTTTAAAAAAAAGCAGCCAGATATCCTCACACTACTATATAGTATTAGAAAGAAACTAATGCCAGTGTTTGTATTTGATTAGGCTTTACCATAAAAGCTTTTTGATAGGTTGTTTAGGCAGAATATTCATAATGAATCTAAGTTTCAAATGGACAGCAGCTGCCTGTTGTAGAAACCTACAAACATAGAGGACGACGTTTCAGAAGACTTTCAAAACATCGTCCTCTAGGTTTGTAGGTTTCTACAACAGGCAGCTGCTGTCCATTTGAAACTTAGATTCATTATGAATATTCTGCCTA